TCAGCTGTCTGTTGCCCTGTGCTGACGTATGTGTGACTTTGGGTCTGTAGAGATATCTACAGGTGACCTGTCCGAGGCCTCCATGACAGTGTGTGTCAGGGATGAATCTGTGTCTGTTTAGAAGGCTGGGTGGTGACTGTTAGTCCGAGAGTGCGTGTGGGTGACCTGTGGTGACCAGTGTGTGAGGAACGCCTGCGACTCCCCTGTTCAGAGCCGTCCTGGCAGCGGGAGGGGGAAGGGGCGAGCCAGGAGTCCTGGGGAGCTGACCCCGCAGGCAGACGGGCTGATGGGGAGGGAGGGGGCGACCCCGTTGTCCCAGGGGAGCACATGCCCACCCCTCAGCCCCTGACCTCGCCCTTGTGTCTGCCCCGCCCCCAACCCCGGGTTGCCAGGCCCGGGCTGAAAGAGGCCATCAATCACAGCGGCTCCCGCTCCCCTCCCTGTTCTTCCCTGCTCCCCTGAAGTCCCCCAAAGTCAAGTCCTGTCTCCTTGCCCCTTGCGCCTTGCCCAGGCTGGGAAGGGGTGGAAGCTGAGGGGGAGGCGGTGGGTAGAGGGTGAACCTTGGGAGGCTGCTACGTCTAGGGTGCACTGCTGTCCTCACAGGTCACACTGCAGGCTCGGAACTGGCCTTCCTGCAGGAGCCAGGGGACGTGGTGGCCATCTGCAAGCACCCGCCGGTGCTGCCCTGCCAGGTGGAGGGTGAGCCACCCGAGTCCATTTCCTGGCAGCGGGATGGGATGGCCCTGGCCAATGACAGTGGCGCCACCCTGATGCCAGACGGTTCCCTGCATTTGTTGGCCCTGCCTTCCCACCAGCACCTCCCTTCCTGTGCCCATGAGCACCACTGCCTGGCCCAGAAACGCTTGGGGGCTTGGGGCAGCTGGTGAGCCGGCGGCCCGGGTACAGCTGGCAAGTAAGTGACCGGGCTGCTCCTGGGGCGGGGGATAAGTGCACACAGAAGCACCCTAGGGAGGCACTCGGGGAACACAGAGGAGCTCAGCGTCGGTCTGAGCAAGGCCGACTGGGCCATCAGACACAGTATGCACCTGCCTAGGGCCCAGGATACTTTTAGTGACCCACAAAAATGTTTTAATTTCTTTAAAACCAGAAGGAAAAAATGAATATAGTAATAAATATGTAGTAATGAACCCAACCTGGGTTATATTTGTCTTTATAGCAGTGCAATTGTAAAATGTGATTTAAATTTTTTTTCATGGAAGGAGCAGGATGTGGTGGCTCATACCTATAATCCCAGTGACTCAGGAAGCTGAGGTGGGAGGGTTGCTTGAGCCCAGGAGTTCAAGGCTGCAGCGAGCTATGAGGGTTTCATTGCACTGCAGCCTGGGCGACAGAGGGAGACCCTATCTCAAAAAAAAATAATAATTTTTTAATGGAGGAAAGAAAATGCTCATGACCCACAGAAGTCCTAGGTGCAAGATGCAGGGCTGCCTAGTGAAAAGTAGGATGTGGCAGATGGGAGCACAGGAGTGGGCTCCAGCCCTGGGACATGGTTGCTGGGGGTACAGCCCAGAGCCAGCTCTGTGGGTGCTCAGGTGCCCCCATGCCCTAGGTCCATCCCGCTTCCACCAACATCCAGAGTCCGTGGAGGTGGAGCGGGGTGGAGTTGCCCCCTTCCAGTGCCTGATCTGGGGGGTGCCTGAGCCCTCTATTTCCTGGGAACACAATGGCACAGCCCTGAATACTGCTGACCACCGGTGAGCACCAGCCAGGAGTGTAATGGGGTGTCGGGCTATGGGCTAGGGTGCAGGCTCTCGACCCCTGACCTCCACATCCCCAGGGTCACGCTGCTGCCTAATGGCATGCTCCACATCACTAGTGTGAGCCAGGCTGACGTGGGCACCTACCGCTGCATGGCACGAAATGTGGCCAGTACCCGTCACAGCCAGGATGCCCAGCTGACCCTGACCGGTAAGCAAGGCCCTCGGCAGGTGCTGGGCACAGAGGGGGGTGTGGCTGCTGTGACTGTGCATGACACAGACACTTTGTAAAGGCAGACATTTTCATCACCTGCTGCTGGTAGGCACTGTGCCTGCTGGGGGAGGGCAGCAGCAAACGGACTAGTGGGCTTGGCCCCTCCCGGGGCCTGGAGCTCACAACCTGGGGGACAAGGAGCTGTTACAGAAGCCGGGCTTGGGCTGTGGGCAAGAGTGGCCAGGGGCTTCTGGAGTAAGCGCACCACTGGGTGTTGAAGGGTGAGTTGCAGAGAGGCAGGCCGAGGTCAGGAAGATGCGATGGGGCATTTCCTTGTACAAATGCACAAGGTTGAGAACAGCCCTGTTCATGAAGGCAGTTCCGTGTTGCTACTGTAGAATGGGTAGAACTCAGGGTAATAAAAAGTTAATGTTGAAGAGGTAGTAGGCAAGGCTTGTCATGAAAGGAGTCTGGACTGGATCCAGAGGGCAGTGGGAGCTCTTGAAGGTTTAGAGCAGCGGCTGAGTCAGCCTGTGTCTCAAACAAGTGTATGTGCACACATGTGTGTACTTACTTGTGTGTGCATGCATGCGTGGATGTGCATGGGTTGTGTGTGTGCAGATCTGTGCTTGTGTGTCCATGTGAGTGTGTTTGTGCACACTTGCACGTTTCCTCCCTGGGGTGAGGATGAAAATAGCTTTGTGCCTGAGATGAAGCACCCAGGACAACCCCACTTCCAGGCCAAATGGGTGGGAGAGTTTTGTGCCCCAAGTGAGGGTCGCAGCAGAGCTTGTGAGTGGCGGGTGCCAGAAGAAGAGATTGAGATTGTGGAGCTGCCTTGGGTGTGTGCGGGGGAAGTCACACCTAAGTCAGCCACTAGGGGGCTCCAGGGTATAAATAAGCAAGTGTACCTGGGGCACCATCGCGGCACCTGGGCACAGACTATCAAAACATCTCTGACGACATTTCACTAAAGGATATATAATTGTTTTAAAAAAAGATATATAGTTTTTAAACTGCTGACTGAAAGGGGAAGGAGGGAGCAGTTGTGTCTCTGATCTGGAACTGACTTAGAAACTCCAAGCAAAGAGTGCTGCGGGTCAGGGGCACAAGAGCAAGAACAGAGAGAAGCCTGGGTGGGGCCCCTCTGGCCTCCGTTCTGTTCTCATCAACAGTCTGGGGCAGGAGGGCAGGGCAGGAGGCCACGTTTCCATGATGCTTGGTGTTCCTGGCCAGATGCCGCCCGGCTCTCAGGCTGCCCGCAGAGCCAGGGAGACAAATGACCAGAGAGCTACAGGGCATGCCAGGAAGAGCTGCCTGCTTGGGGGGCAGAGGACCAACCAGGAACTGAGGGTTTGAGGGTTGCCTAAATGTCCAGGAAAGGAGCTGGGTCAGTGTACTCTTCCCCAGCGGCAAGAGCCAGGGACCAAAGCCCCAAACCATTTGCTCCTAAAGCACTCCCCCCTGTCATGTACCCTGGTGGGCATTTACCCTGGGTGGGCACTGGGACAAGACAATTCCCAGACTTTCCAGGAGCTCACAGTGGCTGGAGAGGGGATATTCTTTGTCAGCTGTCCAGTGCTACCAAGGTCCAGGGTGGAGTTTCAGCCCTGCTAATCCCCCTGTCATTGGGCAAGTAACTGCACCTCTCTGACACTTGGTTTTCTCATGTAGACTCACAGAAATAAAAGCACTTACCTCAGAGGCTGTAGTGAGGGTTCAAAGAGATAATGTGGTGAGGCTCACAGAAAGATGCCTGGTGGGCGCAGGGGTTCAGCTGGAGACGGTTGAAGTGGCATTGACTGTTCAGGCTCACTGAACAGTCTGGCGGGGCAGGACACAGACTCCTTGAATGAGGACAAGCCCACAGTCTGTACAGACCGTGTAAGAAGCAAACTGAGCAGTGCCTAGTCCCTCAGTCTATAGCTGCTGGAATGAATGAATGAATGAATGAATGAATGAATGAATGAAATACTATTCTAGACCTTGAGGAATATTTAAAGATGTGTAAAGACTTCAGACCAGCCCATGAGAAACTTTCATTTGAGACACATTTTATCTGAAATAATATGTTCTTAATAAAGGGCATTTATGAAAAGTTAAAGATATATTACAAGGTCTCATAAAATACAAGGTGGCAGCCAGGCACTGTGGCTCACGCTTGTAATCCAGCACTGTGTAATCCCAGCACTGTTGCCCAGCCTGGTCTCAGACTCCTGGGCTCAAGCAAGAGGATCGCTTGAGCTCAAGAATTTGAGGTTGCAGTGAGCTGTAATGATGCCACTGCACTCTAGCCCAGTCAACAGAGTGAGATCCTGTCTCAAACAAACAAACAAAAACACCCAAAACACAACATCAACAACAAAAAAACTGAGGTGGCAAAACAATGCGGGTAACGGCATAAAGGAAAACAAAGGTATTTTATGAATAGCCTGTTGTTCACAACTGTATTTGCAGGTCCCGGGACATGGTAGCCCCCGGTGATGATTTGTTGAATGAACTAATAAAATGGGGGAGGGTGGCATAAAATGAAGATGTGATTTAGACCCCAAACAGTAGTGCATTTTGGAAAAACGTCTACATCCTCCTAAGCAGGTGATGTAGAGTTCTAAGGAGGGCCTTCGTTCTAGGGGAGGGTCTCATGCTAGCTTTGTGGTGACTTAAGGAAGGGATCTGGGCCCCTGCCCGTACCTCCCCCTCAGGGGCCATCCGCGGTGCACATGGAGCTTGCACACGTGCAGCTTGCACACGTGCTCTCCTCCCGCCTCCCCCTACTTTCACTGGGGTTGGCTTAGTCAGCCAAAGCTTCTTTGCCCTGATATTTACTGCCATGGGACTTTGGGCAAGTCATTTTCTATTTTTGTAAATTGGGGACGGAACACCAGCTGCTAAGTGCAGCTCTGAGGTTTGGTGACATGTGTGGGCTACAAGGGGGCGCCTGAAGCAGAAGTGAGTATTGGGGAGCAGTTCTCATTTCCTAATCCGACCTGCGTATTTCCACCGTGCAGTGGGACCCCACGGCTGCTGCAGGAGCTGGAGATCCTGTCCCGGCCCCAGAACCCGGCTCACGGTGCACCAGACTGCGGTCTGGAGTGCATCTCCATCGGCCACCCGCAGCCACTAGTGTCCTGGAGCCTCCTCTGTGCGGCCCGCCCACCACTCTGACCGCTCGCCATTTGCCCTTTCCCAGCCTGACCCCTCGCGCCTTCCTGCAGACGCGGCTCCATCGGCGTGGAGGGCATCCAAGTCCTGGGCACCAGCAACCTCGTGATCTCCGACGTGTGAGTCCAGCACTCGGGCGTCTACGTCTGCGCCGCCAATCGGCCGGGCACCTGGGTCCAGCGCATGGCCCAGGGTGTCCTGCTCCTGCAGGGTGAGACTGAGGGGGCACCCCAACTTGCTCACGGGCTCCTGGAAGGGGAGAGGGCCCTGGGTGGGAGGAGGGCAAGAGGCTGGGTCTCACAGCGCCTTCCTCCCCACCATTGCCTGTCCAGCTCCCCACAAGTTTGTCCAGTGGCCACAGTCCTTGTCCAAGTCCCTGGGCAGCAGCGCCATCTTCACCTGCGCGGCTCAGGGCGTCCCCAAGCCCCATCTGGTCTGGTTGAAGAATGGGAAGGTGCTGACTCCTGGGGACAACATCAAGCTGACTCGCAACAGGTACCTGTGCTCCACTGCTCCTCGAATCCCTGTCCACAGGAGGGACCCCCACCCATCCTAGGTGTCTGCCCCACCTACATGCCACTCTCTACCTAAATCTACTCTAAAATCCACACACACACACAACCACCCAGCAAGTTAAAACTTCCACTTCCAGCAAGTCTTCCCCCCCTGCCCCCCACAGGAGGCTCTGTCCTGCCTGCTCCATTACAGGAAATGCCCACACCCTGTGGGTCTGTATCTTCTGTCCCTAGCAGGTCTGTAGGTCTCTGAGACAGGCAGCCTCCTCCTCTAGGGCCACCCCACTAGGGTGTGGGGCTTGGTGGGGAAAGCGCATCCAGCAGCTGGGTTTGTCTTTCTCTAGCACGCTGATGCTGGCAGGAGTCTCAGTCGAGGATGAGGCCATCTACCAATGTGTGGCAGAGAACAGTGCAGGCTCCAACCAAGCCAGTGCCTGCCTGACTGACAGGGACCCCAGAGCCACCCCCTCCCCCCAGGGGCCTGCGGGCTATTGCTGTCTCCACTTCTGCAATCTGAGTGTCCTGGGAGCCCGTCCCCTCCAGCGGGGACATCATTGGCTATGTGCTGTACCTCTGGCCTGTGGGAGGTGGGTGGACAGGTCTTTGAACTCAGAGCTTGGGACAGGGGCTGGGAGTCCCTGGCACCAGCCCACCTCTGCCCCTGACTGGTGGTGTCCTGGGCAAGTCCCTGTCACTCTTTGGGCCCTAGCCTCCCCAGACTCTTCTGGATTCTTCCCAGCCTCTGGGTCTGTGGTTGTCTGGGCCGGTGTTCTAGTGCTTCCTTACTGCTCTTCAGCTTGACATTCAGGGCCCCTTTCTCATCCTCATCCTCTCTCATGCTAGCTCCAACTTCTGCAGCCCCCATCCCCGCCCTCCTTGGAGGCCTACTGGGCCCAGCCAGGCACCAGGAGGGGCTTTGTGCCCACTTGGTGGGGGTGGGGACACGTGGCTAGTGAGGGAGGATGCTGAGTTGGCAAGTTGCTCTGCTCCTCAGAGCCAGCCTGCCCGGAACTCCAAGAGGCTGTGAGCAAAGGCACCATTGAGTATGTCATCTCCAACCTGGAGCCTGCCACAACCTACACCATCCACTTGCGGGCCTACTCAGCAGAGGGTGCCAGTGAGGACTCTGCCCCCATCCTCGCCTCCACCATGGGGCAGCAGTGAGTGGCAGCCTTTCCAGCCCTGGAAAGTCTCTGGCCTCTGGCTGCCAACCAGTTCACCCATTTTCCTCTGCAGCCCCTGCTGCCCTGGGCTTCTCCACAAAACTGATCAATGCCACCTCTGTGTGGGCCTCCTGGGAGCTGTCACCTCAGCTGGGGCCCATCCAAGGCTTCAAACTCTTTTGTTGCAAGCTGCCCATTTTGAGGGGCCCCTGCTTCTGGCCAGCAGTGTCAGCTCCTTCCTCTACACAGATGTGGGTGAGGCTCTGAAGCTTCTTGTGCCTCCCGTGGGCTCCCCTTCTCAGTGTGACCTCGCCCCAGGCCCTGAGCTTCCCAGCCCAGTGTTTGCCACCTTCATGTTCCCCTGCTCCCTGCAGAGCCAGCTGCCCTCTATGAGATCAAGCTACAGGCGTTCAATGGCAATGGGGATGAGAACAGCAGTGTCCGCTTTGTCTCTTTGCGTGACGTGCCCCTGGTTGCCCCTGGTGAGTCAGGTACAGTAGTAAGGCAGTAGGGCTGGCATCAAAGCAAGCTCCTGTGATAGGCTGCCAGTCTTCAGGGAGGAGGAAGGCTGGGCTTTGCCTCCATCCCATGTCCTCTGACAGATGGCACTGTGTCCACAGAGTCCAAAACTGGGTGCTCTTGCAGCCAGAGTGAGAGCAGCTCACTGTCTGGGCTTGTGGTAGGCATCCACGTGGGCCTGGCCACCCTCATCGTTTGCTTCCTCTGCCTCTTCCTGGGCTGGAGACTTAGGTAAGGGCCAGGTAAGGGCTGATGTGGAAAACTGCTAGGGAGACAGTCTACATTACTGTGGCACAGGACTGAAGAGAGCAATAAAGAGCCTTTATCTATTACTAACCAATTTTACAAATGAAAAGACTAAGGCAGAAAGGGGGAGCCAGTTGTCTTCAGAGCTGTGTTACCAGGAGTGGGAGGAGACCTGCTGGGCTACATGAGCCGGGCAGAGAGGATTGGGGCTCCCAAGGCAGAGGACAGAGGTAGCAGAAGTGGGCCAGAACCAGTTCCCCTGTCATCCAGTGACACAAGCAAGGGGGGCCACCTCTCCATGCCTGGGGAGTATGAAGCAGGATGAAGGGCTAGGGCCAACACTACAGCAGGGGAAGCTGAACACAGGCCACTGTGCTGATCCTTCTGAACTGGGCAGCCTCCTCTGCAGACAGGGGTCCCAAGAATGCTGGGCAGTGCCTCAGACTGCCTCGGACAGAGCTGGAGGCCATCAAGGACAGGTTCACAGTGGAGAGAAGCCAGGGGAGAAGACTGAACTCATCACCCAGGTGAGGGGGATTCATGTGACAAGGAGTTAGCAGGGGAAACTGGTGTGCTTGGGCCTTAGTACAGAGGTCTGACCTCCTTCACCCTCAGGTGGCTGTGGAACAGCCGCCCTTAGCCTGGGGTCCTCCCAGTTGGCTCCCTCCTAGATGTCACTAACTCTGGACCCACCAAAGAATCCACCTCACCTTTCCCTGTCACCCCGGAGTCAGGAAAGAACCAAAAGTCCCTCAGCCCCTCTCCTGGGAGAGGCAGGCCTGGTCAGAGGGGGAGAGAAGAGAGCATGGTTTCTCTTTCTCCCACAACCTCAAGAAATGGGAGGATCTGTCCTTCCAACACACCAAACTAAACCTCAAACTAAAACCAGCTCAGCTAGAGGTTACCCCCCACCCAGCATACCTACCTCTTGACCCACATATGAACCTACCCAAAGATATATAGCTTTAAGGGTTCCTCCCTCAAAGGGGTAGGCAGGGCAAGGGGCTCTGTCATCACCTCCATCTCACAACCTGAATCCCTCTAGTCTAAAATCTGTTTGTCTCCTCATGCCCAAGCTGAGGTCCGACCTAGAGACAGGCAACCTGCATTCCTTGTGGTCTGAGTGAGCAGGTGGGCAAAAGGGGTGCCAAGTTCCTTGCCCCCCTTCTCCCAAGAACGTAAGTCCTGAACATCTCAGCTCGCGTGAGCTTCTTTGAGCAACCAAATACCCATCTCCCCCTTCCCAGATCCGAGGCATTGGCCCCTCTCCAGGGGGAATCCCTCCCCATTTGATTTCTATTTTTGAAAGAGATTAGTTTGAGCCGAGGTTTTGAGTCACTTATAGATGAGCACAGAGGCTGTGGAGCACCCCATCTATCCCCCTTCCTTGATTCTAGGAGTCAAACGAGTGCCTCTTTCCCACTCCTCCCACTGCCTGCGGCACCCAGGACCCCCTATGCCCACCTCATCCAGCTGTCATGCTCTAAAGCCAAAGCCCCAGCCATTCCCTCAACCAACCTCTCCCTCCAGGGCTGTCCAGTATTGTGCCAAAAAGGGGGAAGGGTCCTGGGGGAAGGAAAGCCCAGGGTGTATGGGATCCCAAACATTGTCTCCTCTGTGCTATTGTAGAGTAATGCTAGTATCAATGACAAGACTCCAGTAGGGCTGGGGCCTGGTCGTCCTCAACAGCTCCTTCTGCACAAGGTGCAGAAGCAGCTGTAACTAAGAAATGTGGCAGAGAGCAAGGGGGCTCAGAACAGCTCCAAATTTCAAGTTGTTGAGGAAATGACATCCTCTCCTCTGCCTGGGCCTGCTCTAAGTGCTTTGTTGGAAATAAATAACCAAAATGGAAAAAATAAATCTGGTTCATGCTCTTGGTTGAAGCTGGGGGAGGGAGGCAATGGGACAGAGCAGTTGCAGGTGTTTCAGGGGATGTTGCATTCAGACTGTTAAGGAACTATGTTCTGCAGTTTGCTAAGAAAAGAGCCCCTATGGTTATAAGGCACCCATCTGGAGAAACCAGCTTGGTACAGAAGATTCTGTTATTAGAGACTAGAGCAGTGTGATGGGAAGGGCCAAAGACAGTGAGGGGATGCCTCTCCCTAGGAGAGAATGTAGACCCAGCCCCCTTCCCACCATACCATTAGACCTTAAGTCACCAGGTAACTATGGCTTCCAGAATACTCAGAACACTGACTCCAGCTAAAGGTGGAGGGGCACAAGAACACAGAAGTAGGTAAGGGCTTTGAATAATCATCACAATTGAAGAGAAGGGTACAAACTCCATGGCTGGACTGTAGGGAGTACAACCATAGCTCATCTCCCAATTACCCCTAAAATTCTCCCACCAAACCACCACCCGCACCCCCACCATGACTAAAGCACGAGCCACAGGAAAGTTTAGAAACCATTCCTTTCTTTATTAAACATAGCTTGCAAGTGATAAATATTACAAAGTTTTTTTTTCTTTTAATCCTTTCTCCAAAAATTAGCTTATTATTTGAATCTGTCACTGCTGAAATGCTCAGCAGCATCTGAAACAGATGGGAGTGTATTTGCCTTTTTGAAAACCAGTTTCTATTGGTCTTAGTTTTTTTCATTTTATTTCCCAAACACAATGCAGAAAATTAGAATGAGTTAAAAAAAAAAAAAAGTAAAGGAAACTTAAAAAGAGTTGTGCAAAAGGGTCTTGTTCCCCTCCCACCCACCCTACTCAGGGAAGGCCATTCCCCATCCTACCTCCCTGCTCCCCCCCCCCCCAATCTATCCTTCCACCTTCACCGGGGCCTCACCCATCATCCTGTATCCTCTCCAGGTCTTACCAGCCAAGAACCTTAAGAGAGTGGGAGTACTCAGCCCAGGCTGGGGGGAAATTGGGCCCCTGAAGGAGGCAGACTGAAACAGCTGCCTTTAGGGGGTTCAGATTATCTGTGGAAAGGAGACAAGATGTAGGCTCTGAGCTCTCCTATTTTGTCTCCAAGAAGACGGGAAGTTTCACATCATGTAGCTCACAAAGGGAGTAAGTAAGTAGAGCACCAACCTGGGGCATCCATTGGTCAACCACCTTTAAGGGCTCTGTTGTTTGTTGTGAGGTGGGGCTTGGGTCCTGGTCCCTGCCCTCAGATGACTAGAGACATAAAGACAAAGATGTCACTGGTCTAAACTGATGTCCTGGACATCACTCTGCTGCCTCTACCACATCAAGGATAAGAACAGGGGACTAGCAGCTCTCCAAGGGCACTGTCACATATATAACCACTTCAACACTAGTCACCTTCATTTCCTCCCTGGTTTTTCAGCCCAGCACTTCCCTCACCTCAAGATATTTTTTGTTTCTGCCAGGTGGGGAAATCAGCATAGAATTTTTAACTTGGTGGCCAGATGATTTCCCCACTCACTTCACAGATAAGAAAACCGAGACCCAGAAAACTAACTCTACCAAAGGTCACACAGCCAATTAGGAGACCCCAGGTCTCCAGACTTCAGCCCCCTCCACCTGCTTTGCGTTAGTGGTTTTCTACTCTCCAGA